AGGTAAATTATATTATTAATGAAATTGATTCACTTTGTGAAGTAATATACTATTTTAATGTTAAHATTTTTTAAAATAATATCCATCAATAAGTTATATCAAAATCAAAACACAACATATTCACTAATGTATAATGAATAATTTCATAAATTTTTTTTCGTTTTTCTTAATTTACTTGTAGACGGATTCGTTACATTTTAGTTAATGAAAATTTTTCATTGTTTAATACGTTTATTAAATATTATGATTTTGCAATATCGAGTTTCATTATCCTCATTTGATATTGAAACTTGAAAATGAATATGTTTCATCATCATGAAACGAGTCAATGAACATGTTTCATCATGAATAAAAAAAGCCAATAAACCATATATTAATGAAACCGTCTCATATGAACATTAATTGCATAGAGAATAAAATATATTATGCACCCATTTCATCTATTAAAACCATTCACCTCCACCATCATTTTTCAAGTCTTAAAGCGGTTAATGATTAACCGGTCAATTACATTATGAACCCGTTTCATTTTCACTAACCAAAACATGAATATACATTAAAACTTGAACATGAATATGTTTCATCATCATGAACATGTACAATATAAATAAAAGAAGCAAATAAAACATTTTATAATGAAACCTTCTGATATGAACATTAATTGCATAAAGAATGAAATATATTATACACCCGTTTCGTTACGATGAAACCTTTTCATTATGCATTTAATATAATATGCAACCGTTTCTTCGTAATGAAACCTTTTCATATGAACATTAATATATTATGCTATGGTAATATGAAACCTTTTCATTTTAAAACATTTTCATATGAACATTAATATATTATGCTATGGTAATATGAAACCTTTTCATTTTAAAACCTTTTCATATGAAACAGGTTTATAACCGGTAATTTTTGATACAATGAACCTCAAATCATTCATTCATTACATAACAAGATAAAATATTCATGAATGTTTCCAGCTTCATTGAATAAAAAAAATAAATTTTTAATATTATAAAATATTAAAATCTTTAAATCATTCCATTTATATAATTTTCATTATTAAATTTCCTTATTTAATATTCCTTAATAACTTCCTTATTTATAAAAAAAATAATGAAAATGACCAAAATGACCTTATTGATTAAATT